CAAAACTGAAATCTTTAGATAAATTTTAATCCAAGTTAGAGGGAAATAATTGAGAATGTTTTTTTTTTTTTCTGGTGTGTACTCATTTCTTTCCAGGTCCTGCCCAGAGAACTAAGGGTCAGAAATGGCATCATGATCCACTGAGCAATTAAAAAAAACCACATATATAAATATATACATAGATAAAGCTTTTCGTAAGGTGTAGTCTGGACTCGTGAGAACATTTTTTGTATTTCTTTAAGGCATAAGCCAACAGGAATCCGTTTAATTAGTCTATTGAAATATTTTCCAATCATTTCGAGGGCTACAACTAAAACTGGAATTGTTAATGTCCTTCTGCGCTTCATTTTTGAGATTTCCATTTTAAGGTCCTTGTATTGTGATAGATTTTTGAAGATCTTCAAAGATACATTGCGGTCTGCCGGGACTGACATATCAATAAGGTGACATCTCTAATAACGATGTCTGGGCGATTACCTTTAATTGTTCTGTCTGCATGTTCCGTGTAGCCCCATAATATTGTAACAGGTCCTATCCCCGTAACCATGTCTGGGTGGTGTTCCTACCAATTTCTTTCAGTTTCCTTTCCGTAAAAATTGCACATTTTCCAGTACAGATACTGGCCCACTCTGACATGCCGGGTTTTATATTCACTGAGTGCCAATACCGTGCAACCTGATACAAGATGATCAATTTTTTTTTTTAATCACAGAATCTGCATTTTGGGCGAACACACCTTTTCTTTTATGTGCGCTTGATAATTTCTAGTTAACATGCATTGGTGCCGTGGAGCAAGAATAAACCTTCCGTTTCAGTTTTTAACCCTGCTCTACGTAGCCACTGATAGGTACGGGGTTTGTCTACATCAGCTTGTTTGGTACGCGCTAAGTATTGACCGTAAAGCGGTTTATCTTGCCACTGTTTCTGTATCTGGTCGGCTGCATTTTTTTTTTTTTTTTGCATTCTTTTTTAATTATTTAGCAGCTTCAGTCGGTGTATTGTGCTTTACTTCCACTTCTTCACCCATTTGAAACTCCATTTTGAACTTATTGGCTTCCTTTATTACGGAATAAAGTCGCTTACTACTTTCATGTTCTTTGACACATATCATCATCCAGTCTTCTGTACTTTCCAGGTATCTTTGAAGGTCAATTGTGGTTTTGTAAGACAGTTCTAGTTAAACTAATCCTCTGCCTTCTTCGGATTTGGGCACATCAGACGATCAACATCAGCCTTGGGATGATGGATGCGGTAGCAAGTGAGAAGCTTTCTCGTTTTGCCATCCATTCGCTTGATATCAGCTATGGTCCAGTTAAGGATGGTCAAACTATATTGAACCACAGGGATAGCCAAGATGTTTATAGCTGATATTCTATTCCTTTGAATTCAACTCGGTATTCAGTAACAGGCACACTTGCCTGTAGTATTCCTTTCTTACCAACTCCTTCATTTGGGTATGTTGTATAGCATTTCTTTCGCTAATTCCTAGGTACCTATAGGCTTCATCTTGTTCCAGGATCTAAATCTATTTTGTGTGCTGTAATTCTCCCATTCTTGAATGTTACTTTTGCACATTTATCTAATCCGAAATCCATACCTATGTCGTCACTGAAACATTTTACAATTTTGTGGAGGCCCTTCAACTCATTGCCGTCTTGGGCAAAGAGTTTGAGATCATCCATGTAGAGTAGGTGATTGAGTACTTTCTTCTTTAGTTTATAACCATAGCTACTGCTATTTAGTTCATGCGTAAGGGGGGTTAAGAACAAACAAAACAGAATGGGTGACAGGGAGCCTCTTTGAAAGATCCCATGTCGAATAATCAGACGGTTGGAGATGGCAATTGCCTCTTGTGTGATTTAGGTATAATGTGATGTTCCACATTCCCATTCTGTGCTTAAGGAAATTTACTACCACGGGAGAGACTTTGTACATTTCCAAAGTCTTAAGGATCCAAGGGTGTGGCACACTATCAAAGGCTTTATGATAATCAATCGACGCTGCGCTAAGATTTCTACATCGTCTCCTGTAATTTTCCAGTATCATTTTGTTTATCAGTAGTTAATCTTTGCAGCCATATGAACTTCTCATGCATCCCTTCTGTTCCAGTGGAAGAATATTGCTTGCTTCGAAAAAAGTGTAAATACGGTTCGTCAGGACGAACATGTTCAATTTATAAGTGGTGAACAGACATGTTATTGGCCTATAATTCGTTATATTATTATTCGTTATTATTATTATTATTGCTGAGAGCCTCTTTCCAGATTTATCCTGGGCATGACGATAAACTAAATCCGGCAGCAAGAGCCCTGATCGGGAGACTAGATGTTTTGAGGAGCTACAAACCACCATTTAATTACTATATCGAAGTGGTAACAACTCTTAGGGTCCCAGCTAAATAGTCGAACACTAAACAAAAATAAAAAACATTAGTAAAATATAAAGATAGATTTTTTTTAAAGTAAAAATACCATCAATACATTTCTCTATAGAAAATATACCAACAATACGTTTTTGTATTAAAATAGTAATACATTTTAAAGCAAAATGACTAACAATACTTTTTATAGTAAAACGACCATCAATATATTTTTATAGTATAATTACCAACAATACATTTATATAAAAAAAATTACCATCAGTACATTTTCTAGTAAAATTGAAGAAATGGCATATATTATCAAAAAGTAATAATTAAAACTCAATTTGCTATGATTAATCTTATGTCTTTTAAGGAAAAACGTCTTTTTACTTCTCGTTTCATTTTTAAGATTATTTTCTAAAAAGGATGTAGATTGGATGGTTGATTTTGTTCAATGACATATCAACACCTTTATGGGTTATTTAATTCTGAAATCTAAATATTTTGAACACAATTTCATGGCTTCAACTGAATTTATTTTGAACTCAATTGTATGCCTTCAACTACAGATAACATGTATTTTTTATCATTTTGCATTAACATTGAATTATTGGTCATTTCAATATAAATATGTGTTGCTGGTATTTTTACTATAATAATATATATTTATATACTTTCATAGCGTTTTGATTTTGTTTGGTGGTTTATTATTTGGTGATAGCTGGGACCCTAACAGGTGCTACCACCCTGGGTCAGAAAAAATGCAGCTAAGTTAATTTAATTAATCATGAAATAATGTCAATTCATTATAAAGTTTGAATTTTCAACCAACCTTTCCAGATTTTCTTCATTTTATACCTTATATATATATATATATATATATATATATATATATATATGAATAAAGAGAAATTAAAACTTATCTTAGTCGACGCATTTTGTCTTCTGAGTGACTTTATCAAGCTAAATGGATCAAATTACCCTTGATAAAGTCCCTCTGAGGACGAAATGCGTCGGCTCAGATGAATTTAAAATTTCTTTTTATTCATATTGCCCTTTTACACTTTAGCAGATAAACACTGAAATTTTAAGACACACGCACACACACACACACACACATACGCGGATATATCTATATATATATATATGTAACAAATAGCCAAATAAAACATACCATTAATGTACGTCTCTTTGTTTTTTATTATTTCTATCTTGATCTCTTTAATAAGGTGAAACATGTTAGATGGAGATCTGTATCCTACTTGTTCTCTATCCTATCATTTTGTCGAATTCCTATGCATACTCGATCTACATACATCTCTCTCTCTCTCTCTCTCTATATATATATATATATATATAATAACATTTTTCACTCAGTTAATTGATGTTATATTCAGCACCGGAGATTTGTAGATGAACTTTTTCGGAATTGTTCGGTCCACTCGTCAGGGGATTTCAGCGATTGATTAGATCATTGCAAAAGTTCATGCCCGAATTTCATTGTTTTTAATTTCCTAATCGAGCACGACTTTTTCCAATGATCTACTCTCTCTCTCTCTCTCTCTCTGTATATATATATATATATATATATATATATATATATATATATATATATGAGAAAGGACAAATGAGTAAAAATCTACACATCGTAGAATTTACTTTTAAAAATGCTCAGTACACAGTAGAGCAAAATATGATTATAATATTTTTATTATAAAAGATTATAATAAAAAACATTTTACATCGCTACACAAAAGCTTTCAAGTTTCAATACTATGATTGAACTTCCTCAAGCGATAGTAAACACTCACACACACACACACACATATATATATATATATATATATATATATATATATATATATATATATATATATATAATGAGAATACTTATACAGTGTTTGGGAAAGGACAGTAAAAATAACAAAACGTAGGCGACTTTTCCAATGTTCTTCGTCCAAAAATTGTGACGTACTTCCTTTCTTCTTCGTCTTAGTCGATATTATTTACTCAATTCTTTGACTGTCTGTCTAAACAGTTGTCCATTCATCCAATAGAACAAATACTAAGTCATCGATAAGGATATGTACACACTGATCGACTTTTTCCCCCTTTTTTTATAGTATCACCTTCGAAGCACACGAACCCGACAACCACACATGCACACTCAATCCATTGCATTTAAAAAGATCGATAAATCGTAAATCGAATATTTTACCAAAGACGAAGACCCCCCCCCTATTGAAATCAGTTGGATTGCCGATACCTGTGAATATCGAGGCAATATGTCTCGGTGAAGGTCTCAGAGCTTCAAGATCATAGTAAAAAATTTTTTTTTAAATATTTGGAATTTAAGTTTCATAGATTTGACTTCAATTTTAACATTCGGTAAATTGGAATAATCTTTCGTTTACGTTACTAGAAGATAAGGTACAATAGCCCGATTCACAATAGCAAACAATACAGTATGATACATCATATCATACCACGTGACCCCATACACTAATTTCTTGACTAGCAATATCATCACGTTCGCGAAGAAGGTGCAGCGGCGACTCTATTTACTGAGGATTATGAAATTCTGAAGGGCTTCGGCAATTAGTTGGCGATTCGTCTCCAGCTGTGCTGGTCGAAATCTCTACCTTCGGGCAGAGAGGAACGCAGATGAGGCTCTGTGGAAGGGCAGAGAGGAAATCAGACGAGGCTCTGTCGAAGGGCAGAGAGGAACGCAGTCGAGGCTCTGTCGAAGGGATGACAGGAACGCAGTCGAGTCTCTGTCGAAGGGCAGAGAGGAACGCAGTCGAGGCTCTGTCGAAGGGCTGACAGGAACGCAGTCGAGGCTCTGTCGAAGGGCAGAGAGGAACGCAGTCAAGGCTCTGTCGAAGGGATGACAGGAACGCAGTCGAGGCTCTGTCAAAGGGCAGAGAGGAAAGCAGTCGAGGCTCTGTCGAAGGGCTGACAGGAACGCAGTCGAGTCTCTGTCGAAGGGCAGAGAGGAACGCAGTCGAGGCTCTGTCGAAGGGCTAACAGGAACGCAGACGAGGCTCTGTCGAAGGGCAGAGTGGAAAGCAGTCGAGGCTCTGTCGAAGGGATGACAGGAACGCAGTCGAGTCTCTGTCGAAGGGCAGAGAGGAACGCAGTCGAGGCTCTGTCGAAGGGATGACAGGAACGCAGTCGAGTCTCTGTCGAAGGGCAGAGAGGAACGCAGACGATCTGTTAAGATAAACACCCCCACCACAACGAGGATTCTGAGAAAAGAAAATTTCAGAAGCGGATTTGCTGATGTTCTCCTAGTACTACTGTGGCACTGTTTAGTATGTCGGCAGTTCTGCAGCGGACAACAGATGTCTCCAAAAGGACTAAAAGATATTGCCAGAAAATAATAGCCTTGTCGCTTCTCTGCCTTGGTTGATTGATTTATTTGTATGTTTAATGGCATATGAAAACCTTATGCGTCATTTAATACGGAAATTTAATTTTTTTGAGAGCTTGGAAGTAATAAAATATATGTTATTCTGCTTTCACAATTGAATACATGGTAAAAGATACTCAGCTTTTGTGCATATACAGAGTTCACCAAAAAATGTATACACACTTCAAGAAAGGAAGAAACTTGTATAAATACTGTAATACTAAATTTATTCATCACGAGATTAATAGAAGTTATTTTAGACTCTAGAATCACAAGAGATGCTTAAAATGGCGACCTTTAGCCTCCAGACTTTTATTAGTACGGCGAACTACTGATTGGGCAACGTTGGCCAACGGGTCCAATCGGATTGACGCAAATGCATTTTCAATTTTTTGCCTAAAGGCTGTAATAGCATCTGTCGAGAAAATATCGTACTACAATAAAAGGAGTTATCGCAATTTGATGAAACATACATATATATATATATATATATATATATATATATATATATATATATATATATATATATGATCATTCTTATTGACAATATTTTCATCATTTTTTTTCTTTATATATATATATATATATATAGAGAGAGAGAGAGAGCAGGCATGTAAATATAAAGTAGACATTGAAGTCAACACCCAGTGGCGGCCATCTGTTTCATGCTAAACGCACTCGTCAGGCTATATATATATATATATATATATATATATATGAAGAGTCCGAAAACTTGTACAGAAAAAACTTGTATAGGTATTGTAATACTAAATTTATTCAGATATCATGAGATTAATACAAGTTATTTTTAAACTAGAATCCCAGTAGACACTCAAAATGGCGACCATTTTTTGAACTGATACTCCAAGGACCACCTATTCGTTCTCCAATATCCTAATAGGTGATACCACCTCTGGTCAGTATGGACCTGGGAACAATAGCAATTAAGAGGTGGTTCCACGCACCTCAAAAATCTTCCGACTCCCGATCAGAGACCTTGCTACCGGATGTAGTTTATCGTCCTATCTCAGGAATAGACCTCCTTGGAGGCTATTTCTGATTCTCAGCAGTGCCGAAAACATAATGAAAGACCGCACGCAGTTCAGGTATTAATTGTTTGAACTGATACACCCAGGGCCACCTCTTTGTTCTATTAGTTTTAGGACTAAGCGTTTGTGGAACAATTTTTTTTTATCCTTGGGACCTGCGTAAAATGAGCGCGGCCGCATGCTGAGTTTCGACGAATTTTAAACGTTATTCATTTTCTTTCTTCAAATGTTATGCGCATTTTCTTTTCGTTCGTGCGTGTGTGTATGGGTGGGGGTTGTACAGATGCGTCTGGGTACTGCTTATTGTGCAATGTATTGTGAAAAGAAGAATAAGTGAAGCATAAGCAAGTTTAGGGTATTAATGGCACAATATATATTGCCCCGAAATGTTTCTAGGGTAATATAGAACATATTCACGTAGGCCTGGGCACCTCGGTGTAGTGTAATTGTTAACAAGCTTGTCTCGCCAGAACAAGTACGACTGAGTAGTGAATTCGATTCTCACTGGGTGCTCCCTACTTTCGGCCTTGTGCCCCATCTAAGCTACGCTTGGAAAATCATCTTTGGTCACCTCGAGGCGATGTAATGGTTAACAAGTTTGTCTCGCTAGAATAATTACGACTGAATAGTGAGTTCGATCCTCACTGGGTGTCCCATACTTTCGGCCTTGTGCCACATCTAAGCTACGCTTGGGAAATCTCTATATTCACGTAAGCCTTGTTTGGTGAGAACAAAAACTATATAGGGGACACCACAGATCAATTCTTCCTTGATTCTTTGTAGATACCGCGCCATTTTATATTTCTAATTTCGCGCATGCGCGTTATTTGTATTTGATTTTGTAAACTGCAGAGTATAGTAGGCTCAGTTGGGTGCAGTCTATGAGAAAAAGAATAGCATGACGCAATTCACTCCACCAGAAATTTGGAAACGGCATACTATACTGCTTGGCATTCGCGCCGGAAGCTTCTATATAAACATTTCAGAGTGTTCTTGATGTCAATTTGAAAAAAAAGGTGAATGAGTCGAATGCTGATTACGAAGGCACGACCATTCGGAAAAATCACTCTGATCGTTCTGATAGGAATTTGTTGGTGAAGACCTCAAACTCAACACGAAGGCCTACATCAAATGATTTGAAGCGGTAGTGCTGCCCTGGGTCAAGAGGGTGGCTGTTGGAAGACACTTTGTCTGGCAACAAGTCTCTGCACCATGCCACACATGCAGAAGAACCCAGTCATGGGAATCAATTTCTGCAACCACATAACTCCTTACATCTGGTCACCTAACTCTCCAGACTGCAACCTCCTTATCTATTATGTTTGTGGTGCAGTTGAATGAGACTTCAACTCTTTGTGACCCCAAAAGAGTTGTAGGTGATTCCGAAGTCCGATTCTGGAGGCCGTGGCTTAAGCCAATGGCGATTTTATTCTCACCGCCATGACGTAGCTTCCCTCTGTCTTTTCTAAAATAATTTCTTGGCAATTGTTCTGATGAGCTTTTCACCTTGGTGCTTTGAATGCATGAATTGAAGCATGATACTAGAGTGGCAATTAGGTCTCAATGTTTTACTGCTGAACTAGCTAGATGCAACCGTCTTCCGAACATCATCGCCGACGTCACTAGTATAAAATAAGAATGTAGTCCTAGCTTTTTTGACAAGAGAATTTGATCCTAATAGCCATATCATCTAACTCCCATCGACAGACTTGGGTCAGTTTAATTCGTTTATGCCGTAAGCTCTTCTTAATCTCGATTTCAGTCATCAACGGAATATGGCCTATTGTTCCAGCTGTTCGTCTCACCTGTCCGATTCATACAATCACAACAGCACTTGATCGACAGGTTTCATCTACGTGGATCGTCTGGGTACGCCGGCGTACTCTGACAGTCCACGTAGGTGAAACTTACGTAGGTTTGCCTGGGTCTTTAGGTTCATAGTTAAATTTGCTCTACTTAGTGTATTGAGCACTTTGCTTAGTTACTTTTGTTTTACTCGTGTTGGAGGTTTTTTTTTTCTTTGGACTCTGAGCTTGGATTCTGGACGATAGGTTTCGCCTCAATTACATGTTTTTAGTTCTTTCTTTTTTATCCCTTATTTTTCCCTGGGTATTGGTTTGTTCATTTACAAGCCAAAACACCTAAGGCTTTTTCCAGAATATAATTACTTATATTTATAAGATTATTACATATATATATATATATATATATATATATATATATATATATATATATATAGTAGAAGTCCTGACAACCAGACTAAGAAGGCATTCCAGATATGAGGAATTGGTTACAAAGTCTGGATGTGAGGGATTATGTTTAGATTAAAATAAAAGAACTGAAATCAGGTTTAACATTTATTTTCAATGTTTTATAGTAAACAAAATATGCTAATGGTGAGTGAAATATAGCAAAACTGATTTTAAGGAAAAAAGAAATAAATTATGTAATGTTAATGAAAATTCATTAAAATTAAATATGCCACGTATGTAAAACAAATTATGTCACGAGGATTTCTTAATCGCTGTTGCATGATGATTCTTTCTCTTCTAATTTCATTCTCAACTTTTTTCCGCATTTCGTTTTGCTTTTGTTCTTGAAATTTTTTAAGTGAATGACAATTTTTAACTGCAATCGTTATAGATGAATGCTGGCTTTCTTTGCATAAAACTGACAACCTTTTCAATCCAGGTTTAATTATAATCATGTTTTTTTATTTCCTTGTTCATTGTGACATTGTGAACGCTGGAGAATAGTTTCTTTGGAATATATATATATATATATATATATATATATATATATATATATATATATATATATATATATATATATATATATATATATATACACACACTCTGGGTGTCTGGCGTTTAGTTACATTCGTAAAAACAATGCGCTAGAATTTGTCGTTGTCTCTGCCGAAGCGCCGATGTCATAGAGATAAAAACTTCGACTGATACCAAATCGCTCGGGTTTCGAACCTGGCTTGAAACGTTCGGTTGTTTAATCGCACTGATGAGCTGTGGTAACAGACCTGTATGTGAATGAAATTATATATATATATATATATATATAATTGCTGTAGAGATTAGATTTAATGCATACACGTGCTTGAATAGACATTTTTTTTAATTTCGGACAATGAAATTTATACCTAGGGAGCTAGAGAGAGAAAATCTTACTAGAGAAAATGTGCGACCCCCCTCCCACTCCGTCATTTTCTTTACTAAGACTTTCGTACGCTAAGCCGGCAATTATTAATTTCATTATTTAAAAAATAAACGAATCGTGAGGTGCATGCAGTTGCTCAATAAAACGTTTGTTTCCCAAAACAATTATACCAATTCACAGATAATTAAGAAAAGGAAATTGTGGAGAGCCTGACCACATGAGCTCTCTAGTCTTGAGTGGCAGTGAGTCGAGAAGAGATACTCTGAATCCCCCCCCCCAAAGGCAAATCCTCCAACGAACTTTCCAATGAAAAGCATTGTAATTCATAGATGATAGAAGGATATGATGAAGACTCATGTTCTCCTACATTCCAAAAGGTTATGGCGTTAAAAATAACATTAGAAAGAACAGGTGTAGAAAAAATCGCACATAAGATATGTTTATTTATCTAAAAAAATGTTACATACTTTTTAAGATTAATGTCTTAACCCATTATCCCGCTATGACAGAGAACGAAAGAGTAGGATTTATTTCTGCAAATAAAAATGCCCCGAAAATAAAATAGCTACCTAAAGAAATAGCAATTGCTATAAATAGTTAATTTAACGATTACTGGATTAGATTTTGCAAAAGAAAAAAAATTAGGTTTCTTTACATTGTAAATGAAAAAAGATTACGATTAGAGAATGTGTCTGTTTTTCTGACAACAAAATCTTTAAAAAATCAATATATTTTTTTCTAGTTTTCTTTAAATTTCTAGATACATCGATTGCTATTTTCTGCGAGTGGTGGCAAAATTTGAAGAAAAAAACTCGTACTGATAGTACATTCACGAATAATCTAATTACTGAAAATGATTAGATTAAACTGTGAATCTATATATACATTCAACCGTTATCAAATTATAAATATAAAATAAATAAACAACCAAAAATAATAATAAAATGGAAGCCTACCGTAGTCGGGAGCAGAGAGTAAACAGGACGCCATACTGATAGGACCTTCCTGGGTATGACGATAAACTACATCTGCGTCCTGGGTATGACGATAAACTACATACGCGTCTTGAGTATGACTATAAACTGCATACGTACCCTGGGTAAGACAATAAACTACATTCAACAGCATGGCCTCTGATCAGGAGGTTTTGAAGAACATAGAACCACCTCTACATTGCTGTTGTTCCCAGGTTCCCCTTGACTTGGGTGGTAGCACCTGTTAGGGTTCCAGCTATAAGCAAATAGTGAACACCCAAACTGGGATCAAAACACTATGAAAGTGTAAAAATAGATTTTAATACCAGCAATACATTTTTGCAAAAACATTATTGCCAAGAATTAATTTTTGAAGAAAATTTATTACTAGAAATACATTATTATAAGCAATGCATTTTTGGAAAAAAATTTTGTATTTAAAAAAAAAAAAAAAAAAGTGATAAAAATCTTGTCGACATTAACTAACCCATTGAGGTTGATATGACGTAAAACAAACCAAACCATACTGATTGGAAGTCAGAGTTGTCCTTCTCCTAGATTGGTTACCAACCAAGGTTACGAAGGAAAAATTATTCTACTATTTAACCCACTGAGGGAGGAAAACAAAGATATGGATCCATATGTTTTCCAACAGCATTTGTGCGTGAGGGAGATTAACGAACTTCACTGGGATTCGAACTCCGCTATCCATTTACACCACCAGCACACCCACAACACGAAAAGTCAAAAGAATAAGAAATAAAATGATATAAAATAAAATAAAGATAAATAAAGCACTAGCAGAAATAAATAAATAAATAAAAAATAAATAAAATTTACTTACAACAGAAACTAAATAATTTTGACGATAACAATAACTTAAATCACTTATATTTGACAATATTTATTCATGATCTCACTTGCTGAATTTATTTATCCAAAAATGCTTACATAAATAGCGGAGTTTGGATTCCAGTGAAAAAAAATATTACCAACAATACTTTATTCGAAAAAAAAATTACTGTTGGGTGGTCCACCCCTTTTTACGCAAATGGACTCACCCAGTATATACATATACTACTGCTACGTGAAAACCCGACAGACAGACCGAAGAGGGAGAGTGAAAGGTTGAAGGTAACAGACAGACAGAACGAACGTAGAGAGCAAGAGTCACCGTGAGCGAACACGTAGACTCAGTAAGAAGTCATACAGCGATACTTCAATACCAAAGACTGTATAAATATTTTGCTACTAACCCGTATTCCTGGAACTACTAACCTGCTTTACCAGTTTGTATTATTACGTTAATACATTATTTTCCTATATTAATTCTTGGCGTTTGTTAATATTGGTACCGGATTTAAACTCGGAATCCACAACAACTTGGCGACGAGGACTTCGAACTCACACGGGAGAAAAAAAAATCTCTCTCGTCGACCACAACAACTTGGCGACGAGGATATCAAACTCACACGGGAAGAACAAAAAAGACGAAATTCTCCCTCGTCAACTTGGCGACGAGGAAATTTGAACTCACACAGGAAGAGAACAAAGAAAAATTCTCCCTTGCCGACTACAACTTGATGACGAGGAATTGGGACCTACACGGAAAGAAAAAAAATTTTCTCTTCTCACCAAAACAGATTGAGCGACAAGAATTTGCATTTATCGGAGACTCAAAAGAGAAAATTCGAACTCACACAGGAAGAGAACACAACAATTACCAGCAATACATTTTTGAAAAAAAAAAAATTAGCAGTAATACATTTGACTTTCGACAAAAAACCTCTTTTAAAAGCACGTCAATGAACCCTGATCTACAAAGTGATTTCTTACAAAAAAATACATATTCTGCCCATATAAACGCATCCTAAAATCTTGTCGGCAATAAATAACTCATTAAGTTCATATTCCGTAAACAAAATACAGCAAAACAAAAATACGTCAATGAAATCTGATCTACAAAAACTGTTTTCTTACAAAGAATATGTATTCTATTCATACGAATCTATCCTAAAAATCTTGTCGGCATTAAATAACCCATTGAGGTTGATAAGCCGTAAAACAAAATAAAACAAAACAAAAATACGTCAATGAAAGCTGAAAAAACAAACTGATTTCTTACAAAAAATGCCTATTCTATTCATTTGCGTTTACGATGGTAACATTATACAATTTTTTTAAGACTTCAACAAATTCTAGATTAAATATTGTCGCATTATAACTTTTTTTAACGTTTAAACGAAATAACGATTTTCTTTTAGGGGAGGGAAATTTTGAAATTTGCTTGGTTTGTAGTTTGTTTTGTTTTAAAGCATGTCAATCTCGGTGAGTTATTTAATGACGACGTGATTTTTAAGATAGATTCCTATGAATAGTTAATTTGTGGTGTGCATTGTTGATACCTAAGGTTTGTAGATAAAAACGTCTTGTGATTGTTCAGTCCACTCATCAAGAGCTTCCAGCAATTGACTGACGTCTTTCTCAATTTTCGCCAAATTTGATGTAATTACACACACACACACACACACACACATATCTATCTATCTATCTATCTATCTATCTATCTATCTATCTATCTATCTATCTATCTATATGAATGGGTGTCGCCAATAATACCATTAATATTACTGATTGATTCTATGTGTGATTATTTCTTTGTATGTAAATTAT